TAAATTGAACTAAATCCACCTTCTGTCAATTTTGTTACTTTTTTAAATTGCTCAAAAGGTATCCATTCTAAAATATAAGTTGGCAGAGATGATTTTATTTGACATTGTTGAATAAAGTTATCAATTACATCATTTCCAGATGTCCATGTGGTGAAGAGACTCTGTAGTTGTAAATTAATGCAACTTTCACAAAATACATCAGAGTATCTTGACAATTTACACTTGTTACATTCTTTTGGCTTTCCCTTTTTATTTTTTGCAGTAAATAATTCAAACTCATAAATAAACTTTTCTTTACAGGTTTACAACCACCAATATTACCAGAAATGCCTGATGACTATGTGCAAATGATGCAGAGGTGTTGGGATGTGGATCCATCAAAAAGACTGACTATTAGAGAACTTTGGAAATTTTCTATTAAGAAATTAGAAGAAGTACATAATAATAATAGTAATAGTAGAAATACTATTATTATTAGTAGTAGTAGTGTTTTGCAACAAGTACACAAATCACATCCAGACGCATACCATAAAAGTAGAATCTTAGATGGAGAGATTGCCAAATATAAAAGGTTAAAAAGTTATACAAGTAATGAAAATAATCTTGGTTTTAATTCATTTCTCTTAAATGATGATTTTAACAAAGGTGAATAAAAATAAATTATTAATTAATTAATCAGAACTAACTATTGATTACTAATGGTATTTTTTAATAAACATTAGATTCTAGTAATAATAGTAAAAGAAGAAAGGTTGATGAATGACCAATTTAATCTCCATTATAAATTTATTTGTTACAACTATTTATCTTTTTATTTTATCCTTATTTGTTTCTTAAAGCTAAATTATAATAATATTTTAATAAAGTTTTCTGATTCTTGTTAAATAGTGATATTGCCAATTGCGGTTTACCCTTGTCAGTTAATTGCAAGAAACTTGCAATAAATTGATGCTTGTCAATTAATTAGTTTACAATGCATCTCACTTACTGCCTCAGAAAGCTTCATTGAATCTTTAAACACATTTAATGGTATCAGGTAAATAAAATGGCTCTTTTACAAAGCTCAAAGGCTTTTATAAAGTTCCTTTTATTCACTTGTGATCAATTTATTTCAGTACCCTTGTTTATATTTATTGGTAAAGCTCCGAACTTAGGCTAAAAACTATTTGGCAGTTCCTGATATTCTAATTTTTGCACTCTGCTTATTTAGAACCAAACCCACTAATTTTCTAATCTAATAACAACCAGTGAACGAGTTTTTTCTGGAGGCACAAACTTGATTACTCAAAGGCGTTGTATTTTAGAACTTGAAACATAAAGAGTTTAAAAGTATGCGGAGATGATGAATTTTATATATGAATTGAAAAAATAGAACGTCCTTAGGATTTCTATTCGAAACGAACAAAACAAATGAAACGAACAAAACAAATGAAGCGAACAAAACGAATAAAATGAATAAAACAAATAATTCGAATAAAATGACAAAACAAACAAATGAATAAATAAAATGAATAAAACGAGTAATTCGAATAACGAATAAAGCGAATAAAGCGAATAGAATGAATAATTCGAATAGAACAAATAAAGCAAAAATAAACAAATAATTCAAATAAGAATTTGTATTACGAATATGAACTCTAAACATACAAATTTTTGTGGTGAATCTATTAATATGTACCGATCCGACCTATAACTGACCAGCTGTATCTAAACATAGCATTATGTATAAAATTCAATAATCTCCATGGTATAAAATTATAGATTATGTATTAGTATGTATTTAGAACAGGATCCTTCCAGCATCTCTACTTCGTAACACATCCGCTAAACTAAGCTACAAGTTATTATAATTTTTTTGAAGTTATTATGTATAACTGAAAAACCGAACCATTTTGGAGCTTTATTTATTGGTCATTGCAATAATTACCAATATTTCCGATTAATCTTTGAACCAAACAACCAAACATTAGTTGTGACCTTTGCATACCCACTAAAGTAAATAAAGTGTGGCCTTTGCAAAAGCTTCACAATTGTTTCCATTTTACCAATGTGTTGTACTGTTGCTTTCACAAAAATTGCTTTAAACAAAGAAAATAAAAATAACACATTCTTTTTTATTAACAATTTTTAAGGATTAATTTATTTAAAATAATAATTCTATTACAGGTTTATTTCATTATAATGTTAATTGTATGTTTATTTTCCTCTGCTCTTTCAAGAAATGACCTGGAGTTGTTTCAAACTATTAAATTTCTACAATATTTATTGTTTCAACATCAATATTAAACATTAATGCCTAATGTTAAATACTTGATGTTAAATATTAAATATAACATTCCTATATGGCACTTTTTTTAAAAAAACAAAGAAACCAATGTAGAATCATGAAGCATATTACCACTGTTCAATTTGTATATTTTTATTCATGGTCTTTTAAAAAGATTTTATGGTTATTTGGAAACTATTACTATTATTCTTTAATTATTACTATATCTATTACTAATATTTCATTATTGAATTTCATAAAATGTAAAGACTAAACATGTATGAATTGTCTTTAGTGTCTGAGTTTGAAACAGATGTAGACATGTCAAATATTAATATGTAGAGTTGTGTTAAATTAATTTTTGTTTTGATTTTTGACTTTGAAGTTAACTACATGTAATAAAATATGATTGAGTGCCTGAGTTTGAAACACAGGCTGATATGTAGAACGACCTTTACATAGTACATAAGACAGGTTTAGGTGCAGGTGTTGTATGTGAAATTGAAATATTATGGAGTGGGGTGAAATTCTGATTGGCTAATTTGAATTTCACACATGTAAATTTGAATTTCACATAATTTCATTTTCACGTACAACAGATCCAAAGGAAGACGTAGAAATAGATGAAAGAAAACGTTTTAAAAGGGCAGTTATATCGAATCTATTTACGCTGATTGGATTTGAATTTCCAATCCCTGACATTTTTTTACATCAAACTATATTAATATACTAATACTAATAATTTATTCTTATACAACGAGGATTTAAAATATAGTAATAGAAAAATCATCAAAATCATGATCAGCATCTTGGTGTAACTGACTTCCGTGTTCTTTTCACTTTAAAAAACAGCTGATAACATTTTTTCCAACAATTTCGTTTATATCTTCTTAAAGTTGCAATGTATAATCTCTATAAAAAGGTGAGCTTTTAATAGATAATAACGCGAGACATAGTCGTACTAGAATCTTATGTTTTTTTTAATTCTTATTTCGTCATTCTCTTGCCTTAAGATACAAACATTACACCTAAACTTTGAAGGGTGGGAAATCACCTTGAGCCCTGAAAAATTCAATTTCATTTCAATCCTCAAATTCCGCCATGTGAAAGATGATTTCTCATATTATAAGTCAGCCGAGCATACTGAAATATCTAAATTCGTGTCGTATATCGCAGAAAACGTAACAGATAAAAAGTGGAGGGAGGTTGCTTCAGCTCTGAATGAAAATCGAATGCTAACTGTAAGTATCTTGTATTTACTTTAAAATATTGATGTAAAACAGTGAGGGGATAGAGGAGGAATTGGGCACAGTCGAAACAACAACCTAAGCGGCCAGGCACTGTCAGGCTAGTTATGGGGACTTTTCCGGTGGGTTCCATCCCAAGCCTGCGTGAAGGCTAGAGGCATTGTCTCTATGCTAAGAGCACCGTTCATTCGCAGCCCCTGATGACCTGTTTTGCTTCCTAGACTAAGCTTTTTAATCTTTCTCTTTCTCAAGCGTCAAGCACAGAGAGAAGATGTAGAATTGTTCTGGAATGATGTTAAATATGAAAAAATCGCGTCAAAAAATAATTTATTGGAGCGAAGTTAAAGCAAGCTAAGGTAAGTTTGACAGGTCTAAGTTTCAAGCTGTGCAATAATCATATCAAACTTTTTGTTTGCAGACTCAGTTTGCTGTCGATAGTTTTATAATGGGAAATGAGGCTCATATGATCACAGACCAGGCAAATTAAATTATATATCGATAGATCTTGAAAATATCGGAAAGCGTCCACCAGAATATATAGTGAATGATGATACCATAAATTCAGTTGTCTCTAATAGCAACAAAAAGGTCAGTGCAGAATTCAACTTTATTTAATTTTTAGTCACAAAAATTCCTTCTAATCATTTCCTCTTTTTCGGGTGTACGCAGATTAAAACAAACTTCTCCACATACAAGTACTAATGATGAGGTTGAGGAGTCATCTGATCCTAATGAACGACTTGAAATTGATCTTGAAAATGTCACAAAGCAGCTGGAGATGATACCTTTGTATGAGGTATGTAACGAGTTGAATTTTGATTCCTGTTCCTTTGCCAATTTTAATATTATTTATATGCTCCAGTGGAAAGTTGGAGACATAAACATTACACAGAGATTTCGTCAGTACCAACAAAAGGTGATTGATAAAGTGAAAAGTGATTGATTAACGTGGAACGACACATACGAGATTCTGTAGGTATCACATCACAAGTCAGAAATAAAAATTACATTCTTACTGAATTTATCATTTACAACTGTACCTCAGAGCATTGGCGTCGATTATTATTCTTGCACGCCCATGCCCTTATCTGGATTTCACTGAAACAGAATGGTATACAATAACTCAAGCAAAACCGTTTGTGATCGAACAGCCCATCATACCATCAGCAATATCTACTACTTTTCAAGAAGCAATAAGAAAGCACTTAATGGATGATGATAGTTACATTTACGCTGATAGTACAGAATTGAGTAGGGCCGCAGCTTCTACGTTTAATGAGTTGTAAGTTGATCTCTGCTTAGCTCTGGGAAGAAGATCAAAAGACTAATTATAATCGTTTTATATTTTAATAATATTAACATACTTTAGTCGCAATCTCCCTACACTTTCTCCGTCCAAAATGTCTGAGGAATTGCATTGCTGCAATCTATTGTATCCCCATGTGCGTCCTATATTCAGCCAATCTCCTAGAGAATATGGTATCCAATTAAATCGTGCTGTCAAAGGCACTAGAAAAAGACCCGATTTCACGTGTGTGGTTGACAAAATACCGGTTCTTGTCTCCGAATTTAAACCGCTTGGATGTACACCGCTTCTGGAAAAGAAAGATTTCGTGAAAGCACATTTGAGGGCTAAGAAATCATTAAATCAACAATCGAATTTTAAGGATGGTCCCGGTGAAGTAGGGCTATTTATAAACACGGGTACATGTATATAAGTTGGACTGTTGGTCTTTTCATATATATATATATGCTTGCTAAATTTGACACATTTACATTACCTAGGCGATATAGTTAGATCCTTTTTTATGGATCTTAAATACGGATTTTACTGCTCATGGTCTTTCCATACAACTAAACTGGCAGTTGATAAGGCCTCAATGCCATTGGTAGAATCAACTTTCAGCCACTTCGTCGCATTAGAGGTATATATGTATATATCGTTTCAATTGGCATGATGTACATTTCATTTTGAGATTTATAACAAAATTTTTCATTTACAGAGACGAGTTAACAAACTAGCCAAGGATTTTAAAAGACGCAAGCAACCATTCACGCCACCCGGACAAATGAAATTTATGAGCGAATTTCCCGACTCTCCACAAATTAACCAGTTGCTCAGATGATTGTGAAAATAAAGCAAATATCTAGTCTGGATGGTCAAAAATAATAGTTTTTTTTTTATATTAATGCGTGGAATCGTAACTAGTCATGAATATGGAATTCTCTTTGCACACGTAATCAAAATCAAAGTTTATCAATAAATCTGGGCCCTGGTGCTCAATTTGCATACATAATCACGTTTACTTTTTGCATGTATATCATGGGATTTATTTCAATGTATAGATACATATAATCGATAATTTTTTCTTGCAAAAGTGATCGGCGTGAACAAGTGTTCATGCGCACGTGATATTTTTACGATATTTTGAATAAATCTATTTCTTATATAAAAAAATATTAGTGAACATGGAAGCCGAATTGGATTTATTAAGACAGTGAATGCTAAACTCGAGATCGAAAATACTAGATTAAAACAAATCATAAAGCAAAATCAGCCCATCGCTCCACAGACTCCACAAACGCCTATACATTGCCAATTAATTGCCATTCTAATGAGGATGATACCATTGACTCCGTAAATCTAGATCAGACACAGGTACAAGATTCCATTTCTCCCGAAGTTAATTCTAATAATATCTTTGAACAGATAGTCAATATATCTTTTGATAACACGCCAAATTCTAAAGATAAGAGATCAATGATTTTCTGGATCGAAAAGTAAAAGAAAAAGTTAGTAATATGATGAGAGATATAAACATGAAAAAGAAACTATTACGAAGTAACGAAGATTCCGCTTCTCGAACTCAAGAATCAATACAAAAAGGACCTCACTCTTCTGATAATCCTACAGCTGAGGCACAAAGTACTGTTTCTTCCGAAATAGTAGAAGCTAGTACAACAGTGCCAGACACGAAGTGCAATTTCCCTGAAATAAAAATCCCTATAATCAAAAATAGAACAAGGTTTAATGCGTGAATTATCTATGTTTATTAACGAGAAAAGCCTTTCGAATTCTATATCTGATAAACGAATTACTGAAAATATGCTAGATGGGGATTATCTGACTCCAGGTTCTGCACTACATTTAGCTCATTTATTTGAAAAGGTTAAAAAAACCAGTCAGAAAGAAATTTTATGTTGATGTTCTTATAGTGAGGAATTCAAAAAAAAGGTCATAGACATTAGTTCAAAAAAAATATTAATGATCAAAAGGCAAGAACACAGTTTTATGATGAAATGGAACCATACCTTCCTGGTGTTAAGAGAGAATATTTGCATAAGATGACCCAAAAAGCTAAAAACATCTATACATTATTTAAAGGGATAGGAATAGATAAAATTGAACACATTACGTATAGTGCTGATGCCATTTCTAGACTAACAGATGCACAAATTCAAAATATTATAAATCATTTTCCTAAAAAATTTACTAATTCAAAATCTGAAGTAAGTATTTCAGCTGAGTCAAAAAAAATATCAGGAACCGAGTTAAGTATACCACCATATAATACCCTTCCAAAGCTCTTTCCATTCAAGAAGATGCTATCAAAAGAGGAATGTGATCAAGTTATTAACAAATTAACCATGCATTCACTAATTCTCCAAAATCGGACAAATATCATAGTGTAGATAAGGAAGGCGAGCATCAAAGTGATACTTATTGGGTACTGTCCAATATGTAGAGAAAATCATATGAGTTTACAAGGTAAGTGGTGATTTGATAATCAAAGTAAAAAGATATATTATTTGTGTTGCGATAATTTAAAAGAGCCGGGAATTTCTATTGATGAGGTATTAGAAGCTTATACTGAAAATTCAGAACCGATTCAGGAGTTAAAAACTCAATGCTTCACATCACCTATCCCTTGGAATAATGCTCTTAAATTTCCGAATAAAACCATAGCAGTGGAAGCATAATTGTAGATAAGTATTTACAAATCAATTAATATTTGTATCTTGTAACGCGCACATGATTCTTTTATATCTATCCAATAATCAATCAGATAATCAATTATATCGTATGACATTTTAATGGGTTGTGCAACAAAAAGCATTCAAAATTTCAATGCATATGATTTATTTGTGCGATTAACCAAATTCGATTAATTATGACGTAAATACATTCTTTATCTCTACATTATTCATTCGATATTAGAGGAATATATGGGAAGGAAAACGTTTAAAAGGGAAGTATATCGAGTTTATGGGCATTAATCGCCTTTTGATTTTTATTATCATTAATTCAATTAGTTCAAGAGTTATATTTGAATTTAACTTAAACATGCCTACTGTTTTATTTACTAAAATCTATAATTTCCTAACAACTGCTGAAGAAGGAGAATATAACAGCGGGTTCTGTTATTTATTAAGCAATGAAAGAGAATCCATGGATGACCGAAGGCGAATTAAGAAGTCTTATAGAATAAGCTGTAGAATCCGCTAATAATAATTATAACAGATATTCTTCACGTTATGTGACTCTCCTTGAAATTCTCTCAGAAGTAAGTCATTAAAAATATATCTGTATTAATATTTTTGAATGATGAATAGCGCGGAAGTGATACCTCCGAAAAAACAAACATGTCAGCTTAAGCATTCCATTTAGTCCCACGCCAGGAATTTCCTCACCGCGGGAGGGATGTTTAAGTTGAAAGCCTATGTTTGGTTTTATGTTGATAATTTAGTATCACATAAAGTTCCATCTGCGTGATGGAGTAGCTAACCTCACAAAGAGAGAGCTTTGGTTATAATCTGACAGCGCATGCGCCCTTTAAAATATTTTCAACATTAATTTGGAATTCCAAACTAACAATTTATATCCGCACTAATTTAAAGTCTCTTACAAAATCGTTCGTAGTTTGAAAAATGTCAGAGTAGTAACATTAGATGAGGAAATCCTTAATTCAAATCTCGGAAAATATAACTAAGTTGAAAAGAAAATTGAAAAAAGACACATCGGCGTTGTCTTTGGAATTGTATAGGAGAATTAGGGAGGTCGCAGTTTCGGAACTTCCTTGGAATGACCCTCTGGAAAATCAAATTACTAGTGATGATTCAGATATTATACGTCTCTTGCCAGATGAATTGCAAAATATATTTATGGTTGGTATTATAAACTCGTAAGGTCTGATTTTCCCGGGAAGGTGGGATCAGCACCAGATCGAATCTCCATATTATTTCACAAAAAGCATTACAAAACGTTAATTTATTAGGAACCACTTCAACGTATGGCGCCCTTCCTTTTATCAATAGTGCATAGGAGTTGTAATGAATTTTACCGATGATATTGGATTCAAATTACCACAAAATCTTTTACATGATGGGATGTGAAAGGAAACCAATGAAGAACTTGCTAATGTTGCTGAAAGGATTCTAGATGCATTGTGAGTATTCCAATCTGGATATTTAAAATTATAGAGTTTTTGGGGGTTCTGTTAAAAGAATATATTCATTAAATAATCTTATCATTAGGTACGATGCTTGGAGAAACCCTGCATTTAGGTCCAATTTTGTAGAAAAATTAAATAAAGGTGCTTATGTTACTAATTTAATCTTGCCTGCAGTTTGTGCCTCGTTAAAAGGTCTCTATTTATGGACATCTTCATTTCTTAGCAATTTTGAACAACAGAGTAGTGCCGGTGCAGTTAGGAGAGGGAATGGTCGATCAGGAAAGTGACCTGATGTTATGTTTGTAATGAGACATAGGGATAAATACTATGAATTGGTCCACACTGAATGCTCACGTTTATTGTGTATAGCGCAAAAAGAAAGAGATGATGGGTAAAACTATGGAGAGAGGCAAATTATGGCATGTTTTGGTCCGCAAAAGTTGTAAACCTATCAAGAATGAATTTGGAATAATTGGGTACAAATAGCGGGAAGAAAAATATATTTAAATGTTCTTATTTGGGATTCACTTGATGTGCGTCTCTATTACCATCTCCATGAAGCAGAAATACCAGTCCAATATTCGACCCAATTATGGTAGCAAGGTTCGTGGAGTTTTTATTAATTTTACGGAATATTCTGCTAGTTAATATTAGTTTGTTATATAATGCGCCTCCATCTAATAAATCGGGTCAAAAAGTAGAAAGTAGTTCAATTGTCAATTCTGCCTAGAAAATAGACAGTTGTTATCAAGTTGTCATATATATATATATCTGTTTATTAATAAATTAGTCAATATATTTTTTGTGCCATTTTAATATGCGTTAGACGCGGAAAAGAAACTCCATGCATTTTGAAGAAAACTAATTGTTATATGTACCTAGAAAGTCGATTCGCATATATAATAATAATTGCATTTACTTTCACATTAATGATCATCAATTTTTCTGGATTACACATCCACTACATGCTGAGAATATTTGAATTGAGGTTATTTACCTCTAAATACCTACATACCTTCTCATAATCAAATGCCTCCTTTACATCTTATGTCTTCTTATTTATGACAGTTATATGACCTTCTGTAAATATTGCATAGGATTTGTAGTAAATCTACCTTGAGTTTTGCGTCTGTTATTTCTAGATTTGCGAGACATATACTACATTCAACTAACCATTCATCTTAGGTAAGAGGGAATTTTTTTGTCGTCTCTTACAATAAATGTACAAAAAAAATTCAAATCAAAAATTATTACATAAAAGTATGATCCGAAGTAATATGTAAAAGTGATACGCAATAGTATAATCAATTTTTTAACATGAAAAAATGATACTCAAAAGCATCAACTATACGAGAAAGGCTCCAGGGCTCCAAAACATAGTACACTTTCGGTGATACTCAAAGGTAGAATAATATAAGGAAGAAGTAAGAAAAAATTGTGCTTTTGCGTATCACCAAGTGAAGATAACAATTCGGCACTTCGTGCCTCATCCTAGTATCGAAGTCAATAGTGTCACCAAAGTCCATCGTTATGGACGTCAATAACGATCATTAAAAGTACGATGCAAATTCAAACTTGTCGTACCTAAAGCACAACGCAAATGTGAATTCTTCCATGAACCCAGAATGGGCCATCAGTCGGCCTCGAATGAAAAAACAATCACGAATTCTTCAAGCCTAAAAGTATGACAAAAATACGAACCAATCGTACGACAAGTAGGTAACAGTCTATCATAAGTAACAATATATATATATATTGTTATCTACTTTGCACTATACTGTCACCTACTCAACTTGTTTCTTCTGAAGTCGCGAGCCAAAGATAGGATTTCCTAAATGGAAATAAAAATAGTCACTACCAAATTTGGTCATGTAATTCAAAAATCCCAATATGTGGATCACACGATATTTCAATTTTTTTTTTTATTCGACCAAAAAATTTTCGTTTTTTGCGCGACAAATTTTTTTTAGATGTAAAATGAATGTTTCATAGTAATATAGTGAGTGCAGGACATCTATAACGGTCAATGAATATCACATGACTTAAAAGCTTATGGCTCCTTGTTTAAAAAGAAAAATAAAGCTAAAAACCTAAGCTTCATTTCCATCGGTTTACTTGTTTCCTTTTTATTAGAAAAGTTTTGAATTATAAAGCTTCAAAGTTGGAATATTTCATATATGCCTATATGTAAATTGTAAAATCTCGGAATGACGGCTTTACAATTTTCCCGTGATAAAGAAAATCTCTAATACTAATAAATCTGATTACTTAAATTAGAAAGGTCATCTAAATTTTATAATAGATTTTTTGAATAATAATAAATAAAATAGCCAAAAAATTAAATTTTATGGGTTGTACGGCGGTAAAATGAATCCTCAGGATAATAATAATAGTCAAATAATTATTGAAAAAATTAAACCGAAAAAAAATTTTCCACTTTATATTGAAAGAAGATCTAACAACAACAACAACGACGACGACGATAGTAATAATGAATCATCACCACCATCACCATCATCGGTTGTTATAATGTTTGGATGGTCAAATAGTTCAATAAAAAATGTATCAAAATGTGCTTCATATTGGAGAAATTATAAAGATGAAAAAGGAGAAAAAAAATTTCACATTCTTTATTACGTTGCACCTGTTTTTCCTTATTTTTATTATCCTTTATCAGCTGAAAATTTAACTGAAAGTTTTATTCCATTTCTACAAGAATTTGGTGTTTTATCATCTTCTTTGGCTTCGAATGAGAAGAAACCTTTAGTTATTGCACACGCATTTTCAAATGGTGGAACAATGGGAATGGTTGCATTAATAAATGCTTGTAAAAAACACAATTTCAATTTGAGTTATGACGCAGTAATACTTGATTCTGGACCTGGAACTACTGGAGTATTTGGGCTTTACAAAGTTTATACTGTTGCTGAAACTAATTTATTAAAGAAAATTTTAATTTTCATAATTGTGGAAATTTTACTTTTCTTTGGTTATCCAATTTTGTTAATTTTAAGTTTTATCAAAAAAAAGAAATTGTTTATTAATTATATTGCTGATTCACTTATCAACAACAACAACAACAATAATAAAATAAAAGCCGAGGGAGGAAGGAATAAGGACACAATAGCAAGAATAGGTACAGCATGCCCAATACTTTTTATTTATTCCAAAGCTGATAAATTGATTCCTTACAAGAAAATAGAAGATATAATTGAAAAAAGTAAAAGATCGGGATTCAAGACTACGACTTTAAGATTTGAAGATAGTGAACATGTTAGACATTGGTTAACTCATAAGCAAGAATATGAAAAAACTCTAGATAATTTTTTAATCAATAATAATTTATTACTTGAGAAATAACAAATTTTGTATAATCATATTTTTTATTTTATTTTACAACCCAAATATTTATATTCTATTTTTTTATTTATAAAAATAATAAATTTGATCCCCCAAAAATTTATAAAAAAATTACACTCTAACCCAAACACCTACCGATGGAACACCATCACTTACAACAAATAATAA